GCCTCGGCACCCACTAGAGAAATCCTCCGGTACTTTTGGAGTGCGTCTGCGGACCGCTAGCCGTCCCCTAGCGAGCGGGGCTCGGGCCTCCACTCGGACTACCGATGTGACTCACCGAAAGTGTCCACGCTCGCGCCCATCGAGGTAGCATGGCAAATTCCACCCCTCCTTCCGGCGAAAGGAAGCGTGAGGGACATACCCAACGTCGGGGGGACCCCTGCCGAACCTCTCGCTCCATGCGGAGGCTAGAGGGCCTCTTTTGCAACCTCGTCGAGACCCCGCAACCCGAACTTGCGCTTATGGGCTCGGCAAATGCAATAAGAACTGATCACTCAAGCGAAAGTAGAAAGCCCCTGGAGGTGTAACTTCACTCCTCCGAGGGGCTCAAAACTTCACCCGGCCAGGTGCGCTCACAGCGCACACCGAACCTCGAAAACAAACCAATTCCTACGGAGCGGGCATAAACCCGGCCTCGGCAGACCCTCGAGAAAAGTGCACGCACTCACCCCGAGGCTCGGGTGCTACTGTCGGGTACCTTAGAACGGGGTACCCCAAGCAAACATCAAAACAAAGCTAGAAGGTAAGCCGTGGGCACGCCACCTGCCACGACCGAGCCCTCCTCCACCTCGCCTCGAGCCTCGAGCAGGAGGTCTCGGAACGAACTCCGCCTCCTCCGAGGCTCCCAGGTAGGCCTCGGCGGGGCGCCGAGCCTCGGCGGGGGCGCCTGCCGTCTCCGTCTCGCCCGAGGCTATCCGGGAAGGCCTCGGCGGAGGCCTCACTCTCCGTCCGTGTCAGCGAGGCCTCATTCTCCGTATTGCGCGAGGCCTCATTCTCCGTGTCGCTCGAGGCCGGCTCGTCCACGGTCCGTCGCACCCCGTCTCGGCCGACCCTCCCAACAACTCGTCATGTCTCATTAATGCTTCAACCACTCCCGCAATCTCAGCCGGACGGTGGCTCAACGCCACAGGATGGCCGACGCGACCCGAGGTCGCATCAAAGCCATACCGACCGGGACAGGCCACTGTGTCCTACCACTGTGTCCACGATCAGCACCATACCGGCTGGGAAAGGGCACGACGGGGATTACCTACCACTGTGTCCTACCACTGTGTCCACGACCAGCACCATACCGACTGGGAAAGGGTACGACGGGGATTACCGACCACTGTGTCCAAACGCTGTACCCATGATCGGCCGCCCGCTCAAGGCCTCGGCCTTGTACTGCACGAGGCCTCGGCGATCTTGGGGTTCGTGCTGCCGAGACCCCCACCGCGATGCCGGCCTCGGCATCGACCAAGCCTCGGCATCGCGCCACGTCCGTCCACGATGGCTTGCACGTTCGCGCCGCATCCACTCCGAGGCATTCCGGGGCTCCCACGACGCCAGAGGACTGATGGGATGACCACGCCGCCCAGATACTCAAGGATGGACCACTCCGACGGCCCACGCCGCCACGAGAAACAGCTACGAGGGCCGGACCGCGCCTGTTCACCACGATGCCGTATAGTCAGCTCATGTACCGCCCAAGTCCTCCATGCTATAAAAGGAGAGGACCTGGGTTGTTTTAGGGGGGACGGGGGACACCTTGTAACACACACGCACACTCCTGCCGCCGGAGAGCAACGTCTCAAGCGGCCCGCACGGCACCCTGTCGAGACCTAGGACTAGCTCCTTCTCTCCTTTAGCTTGTAACCCCCTACTACGAGCACCTCGGTGCAAGGAATACAAGATCGATCTCTCAGACTGGAAGTAGGGCCTCGATTGCCTAAACCAGTATAAACCTTGTGTCTCTTTGCATCACCATCCGGATCGGGAGCACGCAGAACAAATTCACTAGTTGGTTGAGGACCCCCTGGTCCGAAACACCGACAGTTTTGTTTAGATAAAAGCGAAGAGTATCTTCAACGGATTATCTACCCCTTCTCTCATAGAAGAATGTATAAGAGATCCCCTATTATTAGTTTTCTATGTTTCCCCTCTCCTCTAACAGACTATTTAAAACCAATCCTCAATATCCACCCTAACATGTGGCTCCTACATGCTAGTGTCAAGTTTGTTTTACCCTCCTTATCCTCCCCCTGTCTCTTTCAGTCCCGTACCCTCTTTCCCCACTTGCATCTCCCTCTCTTCTCTCTATTGTCGACAATGCTCCTATCTTCCTCCTCAGCCAACGACCCATCTTCCTCCTCAGCCGACGACCAAAACCAGGATCATGCCTCCTCCACCAATGCTCCTCCCTCCCTCCTCCACCGGTGGCGGGGCCCAAGATAAGATTTTGCCTCCTTCCTCCCTCCTTGGCCAACGTCCAAAGCCCTACTCCACCAGTGATCCTCTCTCTTCTCTATCTATTGGCAGCCCAAGCCAGGATCCATAGAGCCACGAAGGGCGGGAGTGGAGAGCTGAAGAGGTAGGACCAGCAGCAACAAGAAGCCGCAACAGTGCTAAGAGTTTGACCAGATGCCGGAGCTAGACATAACCATATATATTTGTGGACCATTGACACCCCTAGGTTACAAAGCCCCAATATGAGGAACCCGTTTGTTGCCTCCAGATCAAACTTCATGAGGGAACACTAGATCCACCCTAAGGACCATTGGATCTAGCTGCCTCCACGCAGATCTACCCGCATGCCACAGAAAACGAGCTCTGAATGCTGGAGCAAGAAGTCGAGTTAGAGAAGGAGGAGAAAAGGAGGAGGAGACCGAGATGTCCCAGCTGCCACCCTCCTTCGTTGCTCTCTGGACCTCCGGCGACAATTAGAGGAAGTGATAGGGTTGGAAGACGATCTGCGATAGCGACGGGAGAGAGTCGTCAAGTCGCTCATCCAGGACGATCGAGGGCGAGAGTTTATGTGGAAGAACTTCTTGATACAAAGTACTCATCACAGCAAAACATAATAAAGATATAGCATTGGTAAACTTGAGGTTCCAATGGAATTAGGAACCAGAAACTCTTAGTCCTATTTGTTTTGCTGAAATTTGGCTTATGCTGAAATATTGTGAGAGAAAAACACTGTTCATTCATTTGAAAAGTACAGTTTTTTAGAGTTGGACAAAGATCCCTGCCCGTATGCATTTCAATAGGGCTAATAAATGCGTTTAGCAGTCTCAATGGTCAAGAATTTCTCGAAAGAAAATTTGCACCACGAATATGAATAGAAACTGAAATTTCTATTATTATGGTCTAAAAACAGCAAGAACACATGAATTTTCATGGAACCACAAATATGAACATTCAGATATATAGAAATTAACAAATTATTAATATAAACTATTATTCCCATGATAGACTGGATAAAAGATCTCTTATTGGCCTCTGTGTGGATACTCCCTCTAAAATGCAGATTCAACTAGGCTAGCAGTGGCTGAATCACCAACAACTAATAATCTGTCCAATAAATTTGCTGAATTCTTGTAAAAGATGCATTCTCGAAAAAGAAACCTGGATCACCTGGATTCAGCATTGGCATTTCCAGAACGTCTTGCAAGTTGTCGGGCAGCTTCCGCATGATGCGAACCAAGAAGTCCATGAAGCAGACGGTGTCCAGCGTTTCCTCGTGTCCTTTCCATTTGTCTTTCTCAATGCCGGGCTTGAGGGCCTCCATTATGTTGGCCGTCCGGCGTCGGCGTTCCTCCTCGTTCTGGTCCTGGCTGAGCTCACCGACGACGTCCCCCAGTGACACGAGCGTCGGCTTGTAGCCCCAACACAATGCAAAGTCCGTCTCCTCCGGCGTTAGATCGCGCGGCAGGTTTGCCTTGAACATCTTCTCGGACGCGATGTGGTACAGGCAAAGCTGATCGTATTCGCCGGGCCGAGGAGAGAGGACGACTTTCTGCTTAGGGGCCCGAACCAGAGCGGGCGAGCCCGAGCCCGCTGGTGTAGTCGCAAAGGTGGGTGTTGACGAAGAAAACAATATTTAGCAGTTAATAACGACGGGAGGGAGGAACATAAATTTGAGCGGAAAGCGACGGCCCGGGCGCTCAGCATAGATTACTCTGCTTTCTGCGTGGGTTGATTCATCGGGCTCAAGATTAACCTTTTCTTTTGGTATAGTTTAGGACAATCTCTCGAAATAAAAACTGACAGAGCCACAGTATACGGAGGGAAAAATCATACTAGCTGCACTGGCATTTTTCTTCCACAAAAAATGTCACGGCAGTTTACGTACACCTACGTCAATTTAAACTTCCGTATTTATTTGTTACAGTGGTATTTTTATTCACAATAGGTTGCCCGGCTTTCGTGAAAAGAGATACGAGTAACAAAGTTCAGTACAAAAGCTGGGATACCGGGCTTAGAACAGAGCAATACTCCTAGTCCTACAAAGCATTAAGCATCAGCTGCACCACGGCAAAGCTCAAGCTGTAGAGGCAAAAGACTGCTACCAAATATGTGGAGTGGCATTGTGAGACCCCGCTAATGGGCCAAAGCTGGGCCGGTCTGATGGTGGGCTGGGCCGAACCAACTTAAAAGCTTAGCTTTGGGAGACTAGTAACTCTGGTTTGAACTTTGAACTTTTTTGTGCGAAGCGTCTTTCCGGGGCGTTAGAGAGGCAGGCTTAGTACCACCTCGGAACCAGAGGAAGGGTTGAACCAACTTAAGCTTAGCTCTGGGAGGCTGAATTGGGTTTGTGCCGATGCAGATCCATGACACTCGATAGTCTAGTGGGGAAATCTTATGCCGGGCCGCTCTGTCTGCACCGGCACCAGAGCGCCATCTCATCGGCCAGTTGATCCCCTACAAAGCCCGTTCGTTCCCTTCCCTCTCGAATTTCTGAATTCATACAAAGATCACGGGCGATGTAAGTAACAGACCAAATTTATTTGAAATGGTCAACATGTTTGTACGCTCGCTATATATAATCACAACATATAAATAAAGCACATTTCTCGTAGTCACGATGCCGATGCGGCAATTACATGGTAATCCGTACATACTCCAGTATTCAGTAACATATATCGACATATACAGGCAGTGTACGTTGCAAACTTGCAATATTGTCACTTCAAGACCGCGAACCCTCCGACCGCGGCCAGTAGGACCAGCGGCAGGAGCGACGCCCAGAGCACCGCCACGCCCACCGCGCGCCGGCGTGGCAGAGGAGCAGGGTCGTCGTCGTCGTCGTCGTGGGAGAGCCAGAGCCCCGTCCACGCCTCCCCCACCCCGACTAGGACAATGGCAGCCAAGACGCAGTAGTAGGCGCGGAACAACGGCCCGGACAGGAGGAACAGCCCCGCCGGGGCCCTGAACAGGATCAGGTACAGCGCCGCCGCGGCCTTACCAACGCCGCCGCCCACCAGGACCCGCCGCAGCTTCGCCACGTCGTGGGTTGCCTCCACCATGTCGGCCGCGGTGACGACCGCGTCGGCGCTGATGATGGTGTTGCCGCCGGCCTCGACGTCGAGAGGACCCATCTTGGCTTCGGAAGTGGGCCTGTGGGGGCTGAGCTGCGCGGTGTGCAGCGGGAGCTGGGTGCGGCGGGAGACAAGTGCAGCGGCTGCTGGCTGGTGAAGTGGAGTGGAGGACGATGGTGCCATGGTGGTGGTCTGTGGGATTTATAGCTGGCCTTCGGCCCGTAAACGGTTGGTTCAGGCGTGCGGGACACGGGCGCGGGCCCTGCCTCCCCTGCCTAGTCAGCACGGGCGCGGGCCCTGCCTGTCAGCACGGGCGCGGGCCCTGCCTCCCCTGCCAACGGGCGCGGGCCCTGCCTCCCCTGCCTAGTCAGCACGGGCGCGGGCCCTACCTGTCAAAGAGCTAAAACAGCATTGTTGGCTGGGCGTGTTCAGCTGCGCTGGCAGCCGCCACAGTCCGAACGGCTGGCTTACCCAGCAGCCGAGTACTTTTTTTTATTGAAGGAAACGATCCCAGTGGAGCTATGGTTGATTCGGCCACCTGGGGCCCGGCGTGGAGTCCTGGACGCCGGAAGCCCGGTGGAAATTTCCACGCGGAGGCCCGGAGGCAAAGGGGAATAGACTAGACTACGAGGAGGGAAAGGAAAATGAAGTGGCATGCCAGTAGAGGGAAAGATAAACTAAACCCTTTGATCAAGGTTTATATTTCTATTTTTCAAGAGATTTTTTATATATGCAAGAAGAATCACCATCATTTTTTTTACAGAAGGAAGATAAACTGATGAGAGACCAACTTCAAAATGTCCTTTGTCCATACTCTATGTGCCATGAGTGATTGACACGTCTTGTAAAATGGTTTTGGCCCTGTTCGCTTGAACTTATCAGCCATGGTATAGTGTTTTTATCTCACAACAAATCAGCGAACAATACTTTTCAGCGAAACGAACAAGGCCTTTAATCTTTTGGTTTGCATAGCATGTTCATAATTATAGCTGAGGATGGCAAGAAACATGTTTTTGCCACGTGATCATGTATGTCCATGGATGCGACATGGCGGGCGTCAATGCCTTCGGTCAACGGACCGTGCATGCTCGAACGAAGCCATGGGCGATCCACATCACTCATGTAGTAGAGGGTACAAGAACACATTGAGCAAAGGGAAAGGTGCAGTGTGAAGATGGTGTTGCCCAAGTTTAAACCGGGCATCAAGTTTAAGTTAAGTGGTGGCCTAGTGGCGGGAGTGCTAAGCACTTGAAAGCGACTTGGGCTGAGGATGAGCCAGGACACTGCAATCATGGGTCATGACTACACCTATACTTTTCATCCATGTAACTCTTATTAAGATCCTATTTGCTTCTTCTTTGATCAATAATCAGTGAATTTTCCACCATGTTCATACTTCATAGTAGTATATGTTGAAGCAGCTCAAGTGAAAGCTTTGTTTAGGCCTTGTTTGGATGTACATGTATTCATCCTAATCCACTTGTGTTAGAAGTGAATTGGAGTGGAAATTAAACTATCTTCCATTCCAATACATATGGATTGAAGTGGATACACATACATCCAAACAAGGCCTTAACCATATTCAGATTTCAAAAGACTAATAACTTGGACACGGGATTAGAAAATTCCACCATTTTCCCACCACTGCTTGTAAATTCACTGTGTAATCAGTCTCATCTGTCATCAAGGTATTAATCTTAATCTGGTGCAATGAGTCCATTCCATTTTGGAATTCCCCTTCCAATCCATCCTAAACTAAAGAGTTGGACTAGAAAGCATACTTTATGCGATTTCTCTAAAGAAGCTAGTGAAGGGGGCAGTTCCGAGTCATGCAATTATTTCTTAGTTATTACCTTGAAAAGAAAGCAGTAGCGATAGGAGAAGAGCATGCAATTATATAAATTGCAAAATAATGATAAACATGTCGTCAAAATCAAAGTGCTTGCTCAAGGGCTAAGTGACTAGCGCCAAGTCATGCTTGGAGAAATGCATGCACTGGTTGGTTTCTCACGTCCCATTTGGTACAACTCTACCTTAGTGGTGGAGTTTTTTTTCCTGAGTGGAACTAAAACTATTTTGGTTAAACGTTTGATAAAACAACTTTCCTGTGAGGCCTCCTTGCCTCCGGCTTCCCTCGTGCAAAGCCTCGGTGCCCCCATGCACCCATGACTTGGTGGCCCCATGCCTCGGTGGCTTCGCGGCTCTCCTACGATGTCCAACGCCCCGGTGCCTCGCCCACATAGAGGGGCATTTTGAGGAAGTTCTGCATGCACGGTCGAGGAGTTGGGTGAAGCTACTTTTTGGGCTTCCGGATCCCATCTCGCTCCGAGAGCATAAATCACAGGTGGAGCAGTGGTGGCCTTTGGTCTTGTTTGGTTGGCGACAGGCGCATGTGCTCCTAGAATGATTCTAGGAGCGCTACCAAATGGTGCCCTTAGTTTCGCCTCTCAAAATGGAATGGAAGTTTTAGGGACATGTGACACCATCACAACTTACATCAAGGCAAAGTTGTGAATATGTTTTTGTCGGGTACCTTAGAACGGGGTACCCCAAGCAAACATCAAAACAAAGCTAGAAGGTAAGCCGTGGGCCCGCCACCTGCCACGACCGAGCCCTCCTCCACCTCGCCTCGAGCCTCGAGCAGGAGGTCTCGAACGAACTCCGCCTCAGCCTTGAGGCTCCCAGTAGGCCTCGGCGGGGGCGCCGAGCCTCGGCGGGGGGCGCCGTCTCCGTCTCGCCCGAGGCTATCCAGGGAAGGCCTCGGCGAGGCCTCACTCTCTCGTGTCATGTCGCGAGGCCTCATTCTCCGTATCGCGCGAGGCCTCATTCTCCGTGTCGCTCGAGGCCGGCTCGTCCACGGTCCGTCTCCCCCGTCTCGGCCGACCCTCCCAACAACTCGTCATGTCTCATTAATGCTTCAACCACTCCCGCATAATCTCAGCCGGACGGTGGCTCAACGCCACAGGATGGCCGAGCCGACTGACCAGTCGCATCAGCGCCATCTACCGGCCGGACAGTACATCGTGTCCTACCACTGTGTCCACGATCAGCACCATACCGGCTGGGAAAGGGCACGACGGGGATTACCTACCACTGTGTCCTACCACTGTGTCCACGACCAAACACCATACCGGCCGGGAAAGGGTATGCACGGGGATTACCGACCACTTGTGTCCAAGCGCTGTACCCATGATCGGCCGCCCGCTCAAGGCCTCGGCACTTTGTACACGAGGCCTCGGCGATCTTAGGGTTCGTGCTGCGAGAGACCCCCCATGATGCCGTGCAGCCCTCGGCATCGACCAAGCCTCGGCATCAGCGCCTGATCCGTCCACGGTGGCTTGCACGTTCGCCGCCGCATCCACTCCGAGGCATTCCGGGGCTCCCACGGCGCCACAGGACCTGATAGGTTGACCACGCCGCCCAATACTCCAAGGATGGACCACTCCGGCCACGCCGCCCACGAGAACAGGCTACAGGCCCGGACACGCCGCCTCTGTTCACACGACGCCAGTATAGTCAGCTCATGTACCGCCCAAGTCCTCCATGCTATAAAAGGAGAGGACACAGGTTGTTTTAGGGGGACGGGGACACCTTGTAACACACACGCACACTCCTCTGCATGGGAGAGCAACGTCTCAAGCGGCCCGCACGGCACCCTGCCGAGACCTAGGACTAGCTCCTTCTCTCCTTTAGCTTGTAACCCCCTACTACGAGCACCTCGGTGCAAGGAATACAAGATCGATCTCTCAGACTGGAAGTAGGGCCTCGATTGCCTGAACCAGTATAAACCTTGTGTCTCTTTGCATCACCATCCGGATCGGGAGCACACAGAACAAATTCACTAGTTGGTTGAGGACCCCCCGGTCCGAAACACCGACAGTTTTGTTTAGATAAAAGCGAAGAGTATCTTCAACGGATTATCTACCCCTTCTCTCATAGAAGAATGTATAAGAGATCCCCTATTATTAGTTTTCTATGTTTCCCCTCTCCTCTAACAGACTATTTAAAACCAATCCTCAATATCCACCCTAACATGTGGCTCCTACATGCTAGTGTCAAGTTTGTTTTACCCTCCTTATCCTCCCCCTGTCTCTTTCAGTCCCGTACCCTCTTTCCTCACTTGCATCTCCCTCTCTTCTCTCTATTGTCGACAATGCTCCTATCTTCCTCCTCAGCCAACGACCCATCTTCCTCCTCAGCCGACGACCAAAACCAGGATCATGCCTCCTCCACCAATGCTCCTCCCTCCCTCCTCCACCGGTGGCGGGGCCCAAGATAAGATTTTGCCTCCTTCCTCCCTCCTTGGCCAACGTCCAAAGCCCTACTCCACCAGTGATCCTCTCTCTTCTCTATCTATTGGCAGCCCAAGCCAGGATCCATAGAGCCACGAAGGGCGGGAGTGGAGAGCTGAAGAGGTAGGACCAGCAGCAACAAGAAGCCGCAACAGTGCTAAGAGTTTGACCAGATGCCGGAGCTAGACATAACCATATATATTTGTGGACCATTGACACCCCTAGGTTACAAAGCCCCAATATGAGGAACCCGTTTGTTGCCTCCAGATCAAACTTCATGAGGGAACACTAGATCCACCCTAAGGACCATTGGATCTAGCTGCCTCCACGCAGATCTACCCGCATGCCACAGAAAACGAGCTCTGAATGCTGGAGCAAGAAGTCGAGTTAGAGAAGGAGGAGAAAAGGGAGGAGGAGACCGAGATGTCCCAGCTGCCACCCTCCTTCGTTGCTCTCTGGACCTCCGGCGACAATTAGAGGAAGTGATAGGGTTGGAAGACGATGCTGCGATAGCGACGGGGAGAGGTCGTCAAGTCGCTCATCCGGACGATGCGAGGGCGAGAGTTTATGTGGAAGAACTTCTTGATACAAAGTACTCATCACAGCAAAACATAATAAAGATATAGCATTGGTAAACTTGAGGTTCCAATGGAATTAGGAACCAGAAACTCTTAGTCCTATTTGTTTTGCTGAAATTTGGCTTATGCTGAAATATTGTGAGAGAAAAACACTGTTCATTCGCTGAAAAGTACAGTTTTTTAGAGTTGGACAAAGATCCCTGCCCGTATGCATTTCAATAGGGCTAATAAATGCGTTTAGCAGTCTCAATGGTCAAGAATTTCTCGAAAGAAAATTTGCACCACGAATATGAATAGAAACTGAAATTTCTAT